TTGGGCACTCCAGCGATTTCTTGCAGAATGCACCAGACGAGGGTCTGCGACAATAACCCCGTCTGCTTTGTGAATCTCTGCTTTTTTTCTTCATAATTTGTTCCGAATGTGGACATCATTTGCAAAGTCGCACTGCAAAAGTCGATGAACTTCGACCACACTCGATGCAGTATTTCTTCAAAAACTTGCATCACATGCCATAGCTACTGCACTAACAATCAAACTTTCAGTATTAAATAATCACCGCGCTTTGACAAATAAATTTGATGTTATGACATTATCGGCACTGAATTCAAACACTCTTTCATCGACACAGAAAAATTCAGTGATGAAGAGACGACGGAGTGTTTAAATTAGCAATAAAATAATGGGATGACATTGAGTGGATGATGCTCGCATGGGTCACTAATAGATTAATCATTCGCAGTACATATTTATTGTGATATCAAGAGATAGATGTTGTTATAATGACGGCGGCGGCATTATCTAAAAACATAACATAAATGTGTGTAAGATGTATAGAAGGCGGCTTTCATATTCGTTTTTACCGCTGAGTTTGGATTAGAAGATGAAGAGAAGGGAGAGATGGGCAACGATCTCAGTGAGAAGAAATGAGGATGCAAGAAGAACGACACGAGACGAGCCAAGCTTCTATTTGTGCAGCACCTCATTAAGTGCCACAAAGAGGAATTTCGATAAGGAGAGAGATTTTTGACAGAGGGAAAGGCACTGAAAAGAATACGAAACACCATGTAGACGTTGGAGAAGGAAACTGGCCGAGAAGTGCGAACGAAAGAAACATAATGCAAATTTGAGGAGATAAGAATTGAAGGAAAGAGTCAGATGGAATTGGATGGGCGGGTTAAAGGAGAACGTAAGAATGAAGAAGGGCATTCCGCTATGCTTGGAGTATTTTCATCGTCGTCGTTGAGCGTTTGTTTGTGGATTATGCGCATACTGAAATTATGGCAGTTCATAATACTGCAATCATTATCATTATTACTATTATTGTTATTGTTTTTAGTAGTGTTCTTATTGTTATTGTTATTATCGTTACTATTCTTTTTATTGTTCACTGTTAATGACGATTTTCTCATTGAACATTCACGAAAGATTTGCTTGATCAAATAGTTGATTTCAATGAGATTTGAAAGGAAGACATTGAATTTTTAACAAAATATTATTCATTCAAAACCCCTTCAACAAAAATTATAATCCCATCAGAATCATTTATTTCCTCGTTCCGTTTATTTGCATCAAATCGGTATTCGTCGCATAATTCAACATTTTTCATTCGTTCAACAAATTATCTTCCNCTTCCGATCTCAGTTATTCAACTTCATCAAACAATCCATTCCTCGTCATTAAATCATTATTACGTGTTTTGCTGTGTGTAACATTCTTTCTTACAAAGATTCCTCCAAAAGAATTTCATTTGACATTTTTGGATGAAGTTCGAAAGAGCAAGTTTCTCAATCTGTTTAATGAACCTAATTCTGTAAATTGCAATTTCAATATCTTAATATTTTTATTTTTGTCTGTTTTGGGGTTGGTCCTTCTTGAGAAATTTTATTTGTGCGCACCAGAAAATCTCATATTCTGCGTATACGATATGTCTTTGAATCCAACTCTCATTACCATGCCAGGACCCGAACTGAATTTCTTTACGTTTCACGAATAAATTTCAAGGTGTTACTGAACTGAATTGGTGTACCACTGTTTGACTAGGAAAGCATGTAGTCAAAACAAACTGTTGAACCGTAGAAGGGCAATGATTACTCCATGTCACAGAACAGAAAGTAGTACAAAGTCATAAACTTAGCGCGATCAGTATTTAAACATTTGAAAACGGTGAAATTTGGGATACATCATCTAGAATTCAAGTGCAGTTCTTAATAAATGAGTAGTGTTTATGAAATTTGATACTGCTGTTCACTGCATTCAAATGAACAAGCTTAAACTCAACAATCCGCTATCTCATAATCCCACTTATGTCTCTCTCAGAAGACGAACACGATGGCGTGCTCAACAGATTCATTTGTAGATTGAATTTGAACCGTTCAGATTTTCAAATCGTTTTGACCCCATTGAGAAAGGTTTGATGTTTTATCCATCAATTTAGCTGAAACAGCGATGAGCAGCAGATTGTTTTTCTCATGCAACAATCATAATAAATCATTCTTTAACGTTTTTGAGCACTTCAAATTGTTTATAAGTAATGCTTCCGGTTGCAAGAAAAAAACATTGTTCGCAAGTGTTTAATCGTTAGACAGACGATCCACGTTCATCTGTATTTGTTAATTACTGTTTATTTTTATTTTTGGCTCGATTTTGTCTAGTTGAAAATTCATTTTCTCGATATGGGACCAGTTGATCAACTTAGTATTTTTTGTTCGGAATTTGTGTGTATTTTTTGGAATATATTGCTTCACTGGGACTCATCATTGCTCGAAAAATAGCGTTCAATTCGGAAAAATTATCTCTATTTTTACATTTTCGTCAACATACGCATGGGATATATATATATATATATATATATAT